TGGACAGGTAAATTGAATCGGATCAAAAATGCGATGGCAGGCTGACAAGATACTTCTCTTTGTGATTGATTTTTCTTCATCTATATTTTTCAATGACTGCACATTAATGGCAATAGTGTCAGTCTGAAGGTGCCATTTCATACCCAAAATAGAGGCTGGATCTTGTTCTGTGATTCCAGGTTCATTCCACATCCAGTCTCGTAACTCAAATTTGGCTTGCATCATGATGTCGGAGAATTCCTTGATCAATTTTTTGACATCATGTGTAGATGACAAACTAAGAATGCAGTTATCAACGTAAAAACTTCGGGCAAGAAGTTCTGCGCACCTATTATCTTGAAACTGCGGCAGGCTCAAATGATACTTAATGGTTGCAGCTAGCAGAAAAGGACTTGAGGTAAGGCCAAAGACTACTCGGCAATGCCTGTAAAATTTTAGTGTCTTCTGGTCCTTTTTCCACCAAAGGAACCGAAGGAATTCACGATCTTCTTCTCGAACCTGAATCTGGAGAAAAGCTTTTCGCATGTCTGCAATGATTCCATACTTTCCAAGTCTAAACCGCAAGAGCAAATCAGGAATGAGCTCAATCAGGTTGTCTCCTTTTTCCAGACATTGATTTAATGATGGGAGCCCCTTTTTCTTGCAACTTGCGTCGAATACTGGACGAATAGGAGTGGTGTGACTATCCTTGAGCACTGGGCGATGAGGAAGATAACTGCACTCCTCAAAAATAGTATCATACTTCTCATACAGAATCTTGCCCTGGACATTCCTTGTTGTAGTCAGCAATCTATTTTCTGTAGTTCGGCGATTGACCGGAACTGGTGGATGTCCAGCTATCCATGGTAGTGACACGATGTACCTTCCGCTTTCGTCTCGTTTCACAGTCTCCTTGAAATGAGTGTTGGAGGCTTCGATTAAATCTTTCCTGGATTTTGTTTCTGCTGCATCCATGATGCCAAGCACATCTAATTTCCATAAATCCTGAACGTCGAAACTGTTAACGTGAAATGAAGTCACGATCAGGCATGAATCTTCCATGTCTTTCCCTATTGCTGGTCCTATTACTGTCCACCCCAACTTGGTTTCTGTTGCCACAACTCCATTTTGCAATATTTGCATTCTGCCTGTCAGAATGCTGCTAAGCAAGTCTGAACCAATCAACATGTGGATTGATATCTCTTCACCTTGGCATATGTCAGTCAAGTTGATCCCTCGAGCTTTTAACTCATTGAGTATAGTATGATCCTGTACTTGACTGATGTGTCCGCAAATTACTTCCTGATCCAAGAATTTGAGATCATCCATGTATTCGTTGTTGAGGCTGGAAACATTTACTTTGTACACATTGTGCTTCTTTTGACGAATTTCTCCGCCTCCAAACAGATTGTGGGTAAGTGTAACTTGCTGCACTCTCTTTAGGCCCAGTGCGTCCACCATTCTCTTTGAAATATAGGACCGCTGGGATCCACAGTCAAGCAACACTCGAACATTATGCTTCCCCTTTGGTCCGCTTATCTTGACTATCAGAGTTTGTAGATAGACTCCTCCCACGGTAGCGTTGTTTAAAGTTGTTGACGTGAATTGATTGGCGGTCTCTTGCTTTGTTGCAGGACTTTCCCTTGAAACCTTTAGTTCCGCTTTTTGGAGATGAGAAGTCTTCTGGGCTTCCAAAGTAGGACACATAATGGGGTAATGCTTCCCTCCGCAGACAGGGCAACGTGGCTTAATCCGGCATTTCTTGAATCCGTGGCCAGGAAGCAGGCACCAAAAACAAACATTCTTCCCTTTAGCCTTATCTTTCTTCTCTGGTAGATGCATCCGCTGTCCACTGTAGCATTCTTGACTCGGGTGACCATTCCCACAAAAGATGCAGTTGTTTCGCATCTGAGTGGTGTTGGCGAGGTCAGTAGCCGTCGGCATTTTACTTCCAGTATTCTTCTTAGAAAGAGATTTCCTGTTTGATCGATCATCCTTCGCATCTTGATTGTTGTCGATCTTGAACGCTGCTTTGGCCATATTCACTCGACTCTCGCCCTTCACTTCTGTCTTCAAAAACGCCATGAGTTGTGTCAACTTATCCTGTACTCCTCTTCCGCTCACCGTATATTGACTTCGTTCCCATACTCTAAGGGTGTCCTCTGGTAGCGCTGATTCGACGAGTGGGTACAGCATAGCCGCAAACTTGTCACGAGCGACGCCCAATGTTTCTAATGCTCGCAGATGTGTCTCCAGTCTATCGTAAAGCTTCACTACAGACATCTTACCTTCGGCTCTCACATTCTGAAGCAGGTCACGTACATAAATCTCAACAAGCATTTCATCCTCTCCAAAACGTGATTTGATATACTCGATGACTTTAGGGTAGTTGTCGGCACTCGGTGGAAAACTTTCGACTGCTTCTCTTGCCTCGGAGTTCTCGGCGGTGGCTTGAAAGAGTTACTGAAACTTAGTTTCTGGAGGCATCTGTGGATCCCGGTCAATCGTGCTGAACTGACTCCAGAATGTAATCCATTCTCTTGGTTCTCCCCCAAACTTCTTGAACTCCAGCTTCGGTAGTCGATAGTTCATTGCTGCTGTGCCGCTGATTGTACTAACGTCATCCTTTTCCGCAAGAGCCTCGTAATCAGTCATAATGTTACTGAAATTATCTTCGTACTCACAAACGGATTCGTACTCGGCAGTGAAAATGTCTTCAGACGCTGATTCTCGTAGCAGAGCTTCTTCCATCCTCATGTTCAATATTGAAAGCTTTTCATGGTGGGTCTGGAGTCGGCGGAGGATTTTCTCTACATCTGCTTTCTTGACTTCCTTCTTCTTGATCTCTGTTTCGAGCTCATTGAACGCCTTGGTGAACCTTGCACGCACTGGCGTCCTAAGCTTTTTCAGTTCAGCACTACTAACTGGTTGGTTAGCCATCCTGAGAAGTAATCACTGGTTCACAGTTGCACCTTTATGTAATCAGTAATTCTTCAATCTGGATCCTGTCGACTGCGCCAAAATGTTGTCTTAAATTTGAAAAAAAGACAATACAAGGTCCCGATGGCTTAACCTGAACTAAAAGCTCCTAGCTTTACAGTAATGCTGGAAACTGACTTGAAAAATTATAAATTGATAAATCAATATCTTTGTTGCAGTGATCAGAAGAATTGAGTCACAACGCTGGATGGCGAGGCCTAAAGTAGAAAACAGTGATGAATAATTTAATACTTATTGAAAGAAATATTTATTTAAAAATCACACAAATTAATATTAATACAAATATTATTCAAAACCAATTATTAAAATTTATGAGAGATAGTTCTTTTTCAGGCCTGTCAAAACCAAACGTTGGCGTCGAGACAGCTTTGTTTACCGGAGATGCGGGGTATTCTTTTTTTGCTCGCGCATGCGCGGGGGGCAGCGGGTGCAGTGTTGCCAGCGCTCGGTTGGCCCAAAAGTACCTATGGTCGCGTCACATTTAATCAGGTAAAACCCGGGTCATTTGGCTAGTTTTATATAAATTTGACTATTTTCAACACTTGTTTGCTTTTCAACTTGCTTATTCGCTTTAAATATATAATATGTATATATGATTTTGACCAAGGACTTGGTTGTTGTTGTATGATGTAATAAATATATATCGTGAGATATTCATGTTTTTAGTTCTTATGATAATTCTGTAATAGTAAAATATTATTATAAAATAAATAAAGTTTCCAGGGCTAATTTTCTTGTTAAAATTTTTATTTTCAAGCTTTCTGACTTATATATATCAGTCCTTCAACAGGAGTAAACTATTATACAAATATATAACAGTAGCATACAATCTCTTTTAATGAAAAACTACACTACCTAAGATTATTGAATATTAGGTAGAAGAGTACATAAAACACCCTCGATGAGAATTCAGTTATATATTTGGAACATTTTTTATTGGGTTTTATTTTAAATAAATGTGAACCATAACGCCCATTTGCTTATAAAATATGTATAATTACTTAATGTAAATTAAGCTTATTTTAAAATAAAATAAAATTCATAATTTTTGAAGACTTTTAGATATACACTATAGAGATC